ACAGAAGAATACACTATTATGTCACGTATACGAAATTTTTAAATAGACAAAATTCAACAATACATTGAGGAACAAGAGAATGATTAATACAAAATTCAGATGAACAGGCAAACTGCACACATATGCTTTATATACTCTTTGCATATGCATGCTGTATTTCACAATATAAATGGCAAGAATTATAAAAATATACACATAAACATTCACATCACACTCATATACTAGCCAATGACAGCAAAACCCCTTTCCAACTTAAAAAATGCAATCACATTTCATTGCCTGCTCTGGATTATTGCCCCAAATCCTGAAAATCCATCCACCTGTAGACCCCTGCCTTCCCGCCTCCCTCGCAGGACCTAATGATGCATGAAGCACACTTATTCTATACTGCTGGCCTGCGCCCTCCAGGACCCTTGGCCACCCAGCCACTTGGGCATGCAAAGCCCTAAGCAATGCCCACAAAGGCTTAATCAGTAACTCCCTTGTTTAATTAAGTGCCCTTGCACCCCAGCGGCTGGGAGGGCTGGCCAGGCTGCCTCCAGCGCTCCGGGCAATTAAGAACCAAAGGTTTCCAATTGATTTGGGGTTAAGAGGCAAGGAGACTTTGGGGAATAGGAATGGCCTACTTAGCTGAGGTGGCATTTGAGTTCTGTTCTCTGCTTCAGTTGCTTAACTGCCTACTCTTGAGGTCACAGGGCAGGCTGGGGAAGGAACTTCCTTCAGGGACCCGTGAAATTGCCAGGGTTCCATACATTCTTGGCTTCTGTCTTCACAGAAGAAATTCATTCTGAATTGCAAAGTGACAAGTTTTCCATGCCACAAAGACAGCCCACTGCCCAGGGCAGTTTAACCTTCCTGGCTATTCTAAAGTTAGGCTTTCAGGTCAGGAACTCTGGGCTTCATTTTCTTTATCTGTGAGATGGGGGTTAAAAAAAATAGCTATATCAAATTTGAACATAGTAATATGGAAGGTATTCTGAACTGGTGACAAAAATAGCAAGTGGCAGATGAATGTACAGCTGTGTCTTTGTTGCATGTTAAAAAACCTACACGTCCACACACTCAGGCACACAACGGACACTGACACAAAAATTATCTGGCAGAATCTCATCAAGCCCAGTATGAATTCCTCCAGGAAAAGAGGGGGGAAGATGAGGGCCTTTCATGTTTGCCTTCTGCTGTTCGAGGTTGCTTGACCGCTTACTCTGTGCTCACTTTTTAATTAAAAAGGAAGGAAACACAACCCTGCGGATCTCAGGACGAAACACCTGTGAAACTGAGACTCCCATTTCAGGGGCTTCAGCAATTGTAACGAGGAGCATAGGATTATTACTAATAATGACAATTGTGAAATAAATACAAAGGCCATTAAAAACCTTACATTTTACACATTGTCAAATTTAATGATCCATCACTTGCTCCCCAAAACAAGTGCCTAGCACTGTCAATTACATCTGCTGTTTATTCAGCGTCTCCTGGTATCGAACAGTCTTCCTGTTCTACCTTTACCTGCTTGATAAGTATTAAATATCCCCATTTTACAGATGTGGAAACTAAGGTTCAAAGAGGGTCAGTAAATTTACCCAACGTTGCTCAGCTCCTAGGAGCCAGTTCCAGATGGGGACACCAGTCCAATTCCAAACCCCACCTTTTCTCTACTTCCCCAGCCACCATTCCTGTACCATTTCCTCTATAATCCTCTACACAGAGGCTTTCAGAGTTCCCACAACTGGCTTAGGATCTGCTAGGGGCTGGGCAGGGGGCTCAGGGTCCCAGCTGTGCTCCCATCAGCCCATCTGGTTTTTGAAAGGGTTCATTGCAGGAGAGATTGGAGCCTGCTGGCTCAGAGCTTGAGCTCTGCAGCTGGACTACCAGGGTTCGCACCATAGCTCCACTCCTTACCAGCTGTGGGACCTGGGGCCCTTAGCCTCTCTGTGTCTCAATTTCCTACCTGTGAAATGGGGTAATCATAGTGCCTACCTCATAGGGAGGCCATCAGAATTAATTGAGTCACTATGTGTGGACTTGGAATAGTAGTGGGAACACAGTTGGCACTCAATGATGCTGGCACTCCTTACTATTGTTAAGAGGGATGGACGGTCCAGGACAGGACAAGCTTAGAAGCCTCTGTTCTACAACTTGCAGCCATGTTTACATTTACATAGGTCAGCAAATCTGTTGAATAGCCCCCTCCTTAGCCATGAGTGGAATCAGATCACTGAGGGCACAGTACCAGCAGGGCCCTTTCAATACCTGTGCCCTCTGCCCGCAGCTGCTTGTGCTCTGCGCAGGTCTGGGTGGCCAGTGACAGGCCCAGGAAAGCTGTGGCACCTTTGCCATTCAGCAGAGGAAGTGTCTATTCTCTCCAGGGAGCCACACCCTCTCCTTTGCCCAACCTCCAGCCCATGTCACTCTTCACCGGGGCCTGCCAGCTGCTCTGGGAGCCCCTCTCTTGACTCCTTACAGCCCTCACTGTAAGCATCCTGAGGGCAGGGGTGCAGCTTGTGCTCCTGGTTCCTTCGTGGCACCTGGCTGAGGATGAGGTGTGGAGTGGATACTCGACAGCTATGCAGAGCTCAGTCATGACCTCAGAACTTTCTCCTTCACAGCACTCCAGGCAGCCGCTGCAGCCGTATGCAAGCAGCACTCAGATGAAACCTGCTTGCCCTCTTTGTGGTAAGTCATCCTCAAACCCCACAGGTTGTATTTCTGGTGCAGGTTCTGCTGCTCTTCCCTGAAGGACAAAGCCCCAGCTCATCGGGACGGGTGAGGCGGCAAGCTCACCTCATTGCTGACCACCACGTGGATGCCCGTGGGCCCCTGCCGGTAGACTCGGTGAATGTGCTGGGGGGGGATGCTGTACAGGTGGGCGATCTTCTCAATCAACTCCAAGGTGGTCAGTTCTTCCAAGAAGATGGCATGGTACACTGGAGAAGGGAAAAACAGATCCTTCTATAGAACAAGTGCCTGCTTTTAAGGGGCATGCCTATCCCCCACCCCACCCCACCCCACCCAGAGAGATCACTAGCATGCTCATGAGGATGATCATGCCCAGAGCTGTAAGAGGCACACGCCTAGAAGCCACATAGACTCTGTGCAGCCCACTGACAGGCGAAAAGATGCCAGGCTGTGGTTCTTTATTCCTGTTTCAGTCGCTCTTGGTGGACTTTTATAAAATGTAAAATTCTTGGATCCACCCAGGACCCAATGACATCCATTTAGGAATGCTGGCTGGAGGGAGAACGGCTGGAAGAAGTCTGTATTTCTAATAAGTTTCCAGTGATTCTGATGTGTGGTCTGATGTGCACTTTGCTGCAGAACGAAGGAGGAAATCCTGGGGACCCTTTCCTTTCTTCCCACTGTTTAAAGGGTCATCGAATGGCTTCAGGTGGCAAAGAGTGAGAGTTAAAGCTAACTGCTACTTGACAGCAGAATAGCCCTTCTGTTACCGTAGAGGTGAAGACAGTCTTAAGAAGAGAGTCCACCATTCTCCCAGGTCACTGCACCTGAATAAAGCTCTTTCCTTTTGCTCCAGCCCATCTCAACAGTCTGGCTTTCGTTGCAGCTGGCGGTCAAACCTGTGTTTCGGTTACACTTCTCCACAGCATAAATAATAGTCTGCTGAGCACTGTGACCCCTAAGGGAGAAGGGGGCACTAGGAGCATTGTCAGCCTGTCAGAAAGTAACAGTGACCCTGAGGCTTGAAAGGTTTCTTCTACCAAACCCAAACCAGCCATGTAGGAATGAACTCCATGGAGGCCTGGGTGGGTTACTCAATGTTCTGGGGCCTCAAGTTCCTCAAAACTGAAACACAGCTGGATTAAGCGAGGGGCTCCCAAACTCCTCCCTCAACTAAGGAACCCTCAGTTTAAAAAAAAATCTGATCAGAGGCCCAACTTTAAAAGCATGCACACACACACTGAGTGGGTCCCTTTAGAGCGGGTGGCAGAGGTCACAGGTTCCAGCCATGTGACAGATTCACCTTCCCACGATTTCAAACATGCTGACCCACTGTTAGATTCTGCCCAGAAGATGTGGTCCCTGAGTAATGCCCCTTCCAGTATGGAACAGCAGGCCTCTCTCCTAAGATTCTTTTTAATAACAATTCTAATTGGACTGCTTTTTCCCAAACTTTTCAAAAAGACTGTTCTACTTGTTCTGATTTTACTCCTCAAACAAATCAGACTGCTGAGAAAAAGGAACTGGAAGGATTACAGGCTGGCACCTTTTGTTGTACACTTCTGTCCCTGGCCTTCCCTGCCCGCCGCTGAACATGGCCGCCAGAAGTGCTCGGAGCTAGGAGAGGGTGGGTTGCGCCTCCTCTGACCAGCGGCAGCATGGGGGACAGTTTGGGAAAACAAAAGGCTCTAGATTGGGTAATCCTAGGTTCAAGTCCTAACTCTTCTGCTCACTGAAGCAAAACCCCAGGCAATCTCTGCACCTCTGGGAGTCTTGGGGGTGCACTGCCAGTACCCACATTGCAGGGCCGCCACGAGGTTCAATCAGACGCTGTGTGTGGAACACCTGCCCAGAGCAAGTGTGTGCACTGAGCTGCCCTTTCCACATGTGTGAAAAACCACGACCCTTGGGCTCTGTGCTTCGCAGCCTCACTAAGCTAAACAGCAAGGAGAGGACCTGGACCTTCACCACAAGTGTGCGAAGGCTGACTGAGGGCTCAGAAGCCAGCTGCCAGGGTCCCAATGTTTGGATCCTGGCTCTGTCACTCACAATGCTATCACCTGGGGCCTGTCAACTGTGCCTCAATTTCCCCCACAGTGAAACAATGTTACCAAGAGTTCCTATTATGAGAAGCAAGTAAGTGACTACATGGGAAGCCCTTAACACAGGGACTTGTTGAGCATTCTTACTGATATGGAGGGACCTGGAGGGAGGCAGACAGCGCTCTCTCTGCAGATAATATCGAGCACTGGCTATGCATGTCGAAACAGGCAGCCCACCAGTCGCTTAGCACTCACAGGTGCTCAGAAGCAAGGAGCACAGTGCTCGCTTCAGCAGCACATACACTAAAGTGGAGCGATACAGAGGAGATTAGCATGGCCCCTGTGCTCAGATGACATGCAAATTCGTGAAGCGTTCTTTATTTTTAAATAAGGCAAGACGTCTTACCAAAATCAGGTAACAAAATAATGCCTCTCCATTGTATTCCTTTTTTATTGTGTTCTCTAAGAAATCAATTTGAGGGAAGGACAATGAAAACATTTGTTGCATTCAAGTGACTGAGTCCTCTTCTGTGGAATTATAAAAGTAGTTAGAGAAATAAAGGGGGTTTTTTGTTTTTAAAAAATGCAGTGGCAGCAAAGAGCTCAGAAGCAATATGTCATCTCACTGAAACCTCACACATGTGTGGGGTAGGGGGTGCTGTCTTCACTTTATACACTTGGAAGCTGACGCACGGGCCCTGGTACCCTGCCCAAGGACAGGGCCACTAGGTGGCATGGCCAGCACTGGTATTCAAAGACAGCTGACCTCAAAGCTCGTGCTCTCTCTTAAACTGCCTCAAAACTGCCAACCCACAGAAGTCACGTGCCCTTGAGGGGCTCTGAACCCCTTCAGCTGCGCTCCTTAGCCTCATGCACCCACCAAACTAAGCGGGAAACATTCACCTGGCCCCGGGAACTCACAGGAGGAAGCGCTCCTCAGATGACAGCCATCAGGGGCTACGGGTCACCCATCTGGGAGCCAGGAAACCCAACTCCTAATTCTACGACGAGCATTTCAGCGGCTTTAGGGGACACTCTCTGGGCCTCTGTGTCTCTGGGCATAAAATAAGTGAGCTGGACCAGACATCCCAGAGGATGCCTTCTACCTTAAACATTTCAACCCTAGGATAAAGTTTATCAAAAACTTACCCTGCAAGAAACCAAAGTGAGGTGGATCTGGGGAAACATTCTCAACGAGAAGACTGGGGCTGTTTCCTCCACGGCTTTGCCGCCCTGTAACCAGCCTGGTGGGCCGGGCCCCTCAGCACTCACCACACAGACTGCTGCTGTCCCCGCTGCCGTCCCGCTTTTGCTGCAGGGGTGCTCGGTTCTGCTCCATCTCCTGACAGACATAAATAGTCATTTTCGGCCTCACGTTCCTGGCAGGAAGGAAGGAGATAAAGAGCAGGTATGTGAGACCGATCTCTGTTGTTCCAGAATGTTCCAGAACGCAGGGTAGATATAGCAGGAGAAGGATTTGAGGAGAAAGAAAGAAGGCTGTAGGGATGCTGAATGCCTCTCATGGTACGGTTGGGAGCAGAACCCCGAGCCAGACTGAGCTGCCGGGAAGGGGTAGAGGGGATCCGCCCAGACCACGAATCTAAAGAACAAGGTATTTTTCAGGGTCATAAGAGCAAATACCTCCTCTGACTTACTCTGCACCAGGCACCATTCTAGAACTTTATATGCATAACTTGTCTCATCCTCACACACCCTATGAGGGAGAAAGGACCTCCATCCTCATTCTACTGATGAGGAAACTGAGGCTCATGGGGGTTAAGAGCTTTTGCCCAGTTGCAAAGTTCCTATGAGGCAGATCTGAGATTCAAACCCAGGCTCTCATTCACTCTAAAACTGTGCTGTTTGGGTGCAGTTATTACAATTTAAATTTATTAGTTAGTTAAAGCTTAAAACTCAGTTTGTCAGTCACATGAGCCTCAGAGCAAGCGCTCCAAGCCACACGTGGCAGGGCTACTGTACCGAACAGTGTGCCACAGACCATTTCCATCCCGGCAGGGAGCTCCATCAGGACACAGCACTGCTCTACAGTCCTCCCAAAAAGCCACTGCATGAGGCTGAGCAGCCTCACTGGTCCACAGCTTTGCTCCAGGAGGAGGCAGCTTGAAGCCTCAGACCATGCAAGCATTCGACAACCAGTGGCTAAAGGGCCGAGATCCTGAGGCCAAGGCATGCAGCAAACCAAGGGGACAGTGGCCTTCAGGCAGAGTGTGCTGTAGCGGACTGCATCAGTCACAGCCTCTCACTCCCACGCTGCAGCCCGGCCTGGGCCCCCTCACCACATGTCCTCCTGCACTTGCCCCAGAGGACCCCGTAGTCGGCTGCCTGCCACACTCTGCCTCCAGCTGGAGAGTGACACCCACCTGCCTTTGATGGCATTAAAGAGCCGGATTCCATCTGCGGGGCCACAGATCTGGACCAAATCATCTCGAGACATCTTCAGCAAGTCAGCACCTAGGCAGGTAAGTGGGACTGCCCGTTAAGTGGGACACAAAGAAAAGGTTGCATCACCATGCACCTGCAGACTCTGCACTGGGGTTAGGGGACAGGGGACACGGAAGAGCCAGGCTCACCCTCAGGAGGAATCAGACATTCCATGGAGAAGCAGCAAAGAGCCAAACAACGTCAGATCACAGCCCCAAAGGTGTCAGAAGCTAAATGACTGGCACTCATAAAACACAGTAGAACAGACAGGTGTTTACAGAAGCCTGTGCCTGCCCGCCCCTCCCTCTGTACTTTGTATTATTGGCATATAATGTATGTGCATCTCTATGGGCATGTGGCATTGACCACTTGTACACTTGCCTGTACGCAGAATACACAGCTCATCGGCTGCAGTCATTCTGAACACACCCATGCACCCAGCCCACAGATTAGGGGCAGAACATTCCCAGCATCCCCGAGGCCCCTCATGCCAGCCACTCCCTCAGCTCTGGGGAACGACTGTCCCAACTTCCTACAGTATAGACGAGATTGGCCTGTTTTTTTGAAATTTATGTAAATAGAATTGAATGGTACATACTCTTTTATGTCTGGTTCCTGCCCTCTAAGTTCTATTTAAGGGCTTATTCCTATTTTATGTAGTTATAGACCATTCATGCCCATTATTAGATGTTATTTATTGCACGAATATGCCACAATTCATATAGGCACTCTCTAGTGACGGGCACCAGGGGTGCTCCCAGTTTGGTTATTATGTATAACTCTTTATGAACATCCTCATATGTGTATGCAGTCCCTCCCTCAAAGGCCAAGGAGTCCCCTAAAGGCTTGTGACCACTTGGACTCCCCCAAAGGTATACACAGGATATCAGCCTTCTGCTAAAAACCTGCCAATAGCCATGCTGCCTAAAGCCACAAATTCCATCCCTTTTTTCCTGCCACAGTTAATACACTGTTTCAGGTATAATTCTATAGGCATAATAGTTCCCTTTCCATTGGGAATAAAGGCTGAAGTCCTTCCACTGTTGTACCAGGGCCCCTCAGTGCCTCTCTGCGCTCACCTCCTCCCTTGGTTCACTCAGCCCCAATCACCTGGGTCCTCTGTCCCATGACCCCACCAGGCAGATGTCAGCCTTGCAGCCTTTGCTCTTTCCCTCTGCTTAGAAAGCCAATTCCCCCAACCCACCCCTCCAGTGCCCACTTGGCTCGCCCCCTCGCCTTGTTCCAGCTTACTGCTTCTCAGTAAGGCCTATGCTGGCCATCCTATTGAAGTCTACAGCCAGCCCTTCCTCCCCTCCAGGATAAGTCAGGTCCCTCTCTGAGCGCCCCCACCACAGATGGGTCACGCTCTATTGACACGCATGATTTGTGTGTCTGTGCTAACTCAAAGCTGCAAGCTCCTTGAAGACAGGTTCCCTGTCTGGCCTTCCTTGTCCCTCCCCCCAAACACAAAGGAAGTTCTTGGAAAAGCTGTGCTGAAAGACAACTGGGCGCTTTCCCCCCACTGTCAGAGATGTCCTAGAGAGCCACCCTTCTCATCTGGTCTCTGTCCCTCTAGACTGACTCTGCTTGGTGTGCTTGGTGGCAAGGCTCAATACTCAGTTCATCCTTTTATCCCTAGAATCATTAGCTCAGGGCTTCTGCCTCATGGACCCACAGTAAGGACTTCACAAACCTTTTAAAGAAGGAAAAACTAGCTTTTCCTTCTCATGAGTGGCTTCACCTCCATCTTCCAGACCGTGGCTCTGGATACCATGTGATGAGCAGCATTTTGGTAAGACAAGCGCCAAGGGGGCTTGTTGAGTATGCATTGGCCTGCTTGGCTGAGGGACCCTACCCAGGCAGACAAGAGCCCACCCCGCAAATGAGGGTGATCTTGATTAGGGTGTCCACATGATCCTGCCTTAAAGCTGCACTCGACTGGAAACTTCCAGGGGTAGGACCACAATTCTTAGCACTTGGCCCAGATCAGCAAGTGTGAGTGAGTGATTCACACTACTCTAAGCCCCAGGACAAAACCACAGTCCCACAGGCACCAAGGGCAAGTCCTGGAAGGTAAATGGCTTCACTTAGGTGTTTGCTAGATCCCTGTGGGTCTAGAGACGCTCACCTGAGAAGCTGGCAAACAGCCGGCAGAACTGCGAGAACCTGTTGCGGTGGAGCCACTGCTGGGCGTCCTGGATGGAGGCTGATGGGAGCAGGTGCTGCAGACAGAGAGAGGGGACCTTGAGATGACTGCTCAGCATCTGCACAGGACAGGCAGCCCAAGGGTGCGCACAGACACTTACATCACTGCCCACAGGCAGGGCCTCCACTGGGTGGGGGTGGGTCGGTGAGCTGTTGCTACAAAAGAAGAGAACAGCAATGAGAGGGAGTGTCCACGGGGCTGGTGAGGGTCTCCTCACCTGCCTGCTGCTCCTACTCCTTCAGCTCTGAGGCTTTTTTTGAATGAAAATTTCCTGAATAAGGGGAATGGTGGCAGCAGCCACCATCCGATCCCTAATGAACTCTTTGGTGTGGACAGACTAGCTACGCTGTCTAAGCCTGCACTGAGCCCTTCTCCACCTTGGGCTAGAGGTTCATTGTGGTCAGAATTCCCTCCCCCTGGGAGTCCCCAGCCCAGCCTCAGCCCAAGGAGGGGCAGCAGACCAGGAGACCCAGGTAGCCTCCATTGTGACTCGGTGCCGGACAGCAGCAGCCAAAGGGGTCGTTGGGCACTTCTCTCTGTGGCAAGAGGAGAGGGCACAAGAGCCCCTCTGGGGAATCACTGTGCAGTGAACAAACACCCACAGTTTGATATCATCCGTGAGAAAAATATTCTCATGGTTTTTCCCCTCAGACCCTCATCAGGGGCTCACTCAAGGGGGACACAGACCTGAGCACCTGGGTTCTTAAATTGAGGGAAAGATATATATTTCCTTTTTT